CCTCCTCCACCAACCACCTGAAGCCCTCTCCTGGGACGCCCCCCTCAATCAGGTCAGTTCTCTCCTTCCGTCCCCCCAGAAGGCGGGCTTTGTCCGCCGTGACCCTCCTGGGAGGAAGCTGCTTTAACTACCCAAGAATGCGTCTCAGAAATCTCTCGGCCTCTTGATTCACAGGACTCTGCTCCTTTTTCATCTTTACGTTCCCTCGCTTTTCCCAGGACCCGAAGTGCTCATCAACAGACTTTTACTGAATGATATTCAAATAAAAGCAAGCCAGACGTAGCCCCAAAAGTTCTCCTTTTCCACGATCGCTGGGTGGCCAACGTGAGGTCAGCTTTCTAGAGCTGCTTTTCTAGGACTGAGTGTCCATCCGCTGGCTGCTATAGAGGCCGCTGCCGCTCAGGACCGCCTCTCGCGTTTCATGCAGCGCACGCTCCCGAGTCCGTCGTCGTTACGACACACGTGTGTGAGGAAGGCCACCCTCCCCTCGACCCCACGGGCCAGGGAGGCTTTACACTGTGCCTTAGCGCTGACCAAGGGTCCCCGGGTAGAAACTCTGCCTCGGACCGTGTAAGTGAACGCTCCAAAGTGAGGTCCAGTGGTTTGATGAAACACAGAAGTTCCTCAGCTCTGAGACGCTCTTTCAAGTGATGAATATAGATTTCCTTAAGCAGGAAAAAAACTTCATGTCATCAATTAGGATGGAAGCTGAAGCAGGAGCCTGGGGACAGAGCCACAGAGACTCGTCCCTCCAGATAGAAGGACTGGGCTGCTTGGGGCCTTGGTGGCCGGCGGACTTCTGCCGGCTTCGGTATCCAGATGACCTCATCCCATGGCGCTCAGACTGGCATGTGATGATCTTTCTGCCACAGCAGGATCTGAACAAGGACTGAGAACAAGTTTTCTGCCACCTGTATCAGATGAAAAAGGCAGACTCGACAAGCCGGAGTCTGAAGGCCCCATGAGCCCCCTCACAGGGTCAGTGACGTCCAGGTACGCCCGCCAGCCGGGAGCCTCAGACACGTAGACAGGGGAGCTGCATTGGCGCCTGTGACAACTGAAGCCCTGGGCCGTCCCTGCCTATCGTGGGGATGGAGTCAGCAGAGCGAGGTATTTAAGCCCAATTCTGGAGATACGGCCCTGATTTCTGTGCCACTACTTTTGAGTGACAGGCAGGTCCCTACATCCCTTTTATTTCTGCAAGTTAACTGAGGTTTCTGCACTTTTTGCTGCAAAGAAAAAAAAATGTCCTCTTCTTAGCACTCTGGGACTTCTTTCTGCACACCATTTGCAACCGAGAGCTTGAGCGTTCATCCTTTTTACTTGTCTTTTGTGAAATATCAATACTTTCTTCTGAATCTGAGAAATCCCTGGTGTACCAGAAGTGAAAAAAGAAAATTAAAAAGGAAGGAAAAAAAAAAAAACTCTCCCTTTACTGTCAAGAGAAAAAGAATTCTAAATCTTTCCAGGGCAAATACTGGATATGATCCTCTTACTTCACCTTTGGATAAATTCTCACTTCAAGCAAAACTATTTTCCTTTGAAATTGCTGTTAGGCAGACACATACCAAAATCACTCAAAAGGAATGTTTTGCATCAGAATAATGTGATGTATTTAATGTATTCTGACAGTTGTCAACATGCCGGACTCTAAGATCCTTTTATTTCCATGTGTTGCTCTTTCTATACATTGGCCCCGGACACCTGTCCTTAATTAGTACCTCATCTGAGATCAACGGTTCTCCACCTTGGATGACCTTGCCACCCCTGGGGACATGGTGCTGTGCCTGGAGACACTTGGGTTTGTCACACGGGGGAGGAAGAGTTAGGAAGCGGTGTGCCCTTGGGTAACAAGCATTCGCCTTAGGGTAGAAATAATGGGCAGGTGTGTTTGTAGTCATTTGGGGCCTTGTGAAATGAAGAACTTGGCATCCTAAGCTAAGAAGTCCACAGCAGCTTCTACCATAGTTCAGCAGGGAGGCTGTGGTCCTCCCCTGCCCCCAGCACCATGGACACTGAGTCAGGGGTCTTCCCCTGAATTCCCACATCACCTCTGCTTTCTCCAGACTGACAGGGGTCCGGGGTCTGTCCTTTCTCTAAGGTATCAGGTTGTTGAGACTAGGAACCTTGCCTTAGTCCCTGTTGCTTCCCCAGAAGAAGGGCTTTGCAGGATGAGCTGACTCACTAAGAGGCCCCTTCCACTCACCCTCACCCTGAGTGCACCACACATGTAGGCAAACGGCTTCATGGCTCGTGACTCAGCTATTCTTTCTGCCACATTCATCCATCTGAGTAGTTGCCCCATGACATCAGAGACTCTTCAGACCTCTAGAAACATTTATCCAAACATAATCATGAATCGATACCCAGGCTTCCCAGGCGGCACTAGTGGTGAAGAACCCATTTGCCAATGCAGCGGATGTAACAGACATGAATTCGATCCTTGGTTCAGGAAGGCACCTGGAGGAGGGCATGGCAACCCACTCCAGTATTCTTGCCTGGAGAATGCCATGGACAGAGGAGCCTGGCAGGATACAGTCCACGGGGTCACAAAGAGTCGGACAATTTAGCACACGTGAACCCAGTACACAAGACAGAAATCACAGCCGCTCTTGCCCCACGTGATACGGGAAGAAACGCCCAGATTCCGAGTCCTCCCCTGGGTCACCCCCAAGGAAGCTAAGGGCTCCATAAACCTAGGGCCAAAAGGCTAATCTTATCCTACAAATGAACAAGCAAGATTTACTCTATGTCAACAGCATTCTCTATACAATCAAGTTGCTGAGCTATTTCTCGGTCCAGACCATGGCAGATATGTGCCTCTTATAAACACATACCAAAAAAAAAAAAAATCCTTCAATTAGTTTCATTCACAGACAACTGACAAGACAGGAAAGATGTGACTCACAGAATTTCATATCTGCTCTACCACGTGGCTGCGGCGCGGCGCGTGTATTATCACATTGACTGGCACCAGCTAATAAACAGCATTACAAAACGAAGGCAACCATAATAAATGAGATTGGACTCAAACCAAGAGACTTTGAAAATGAATACTTTGGTAATTATGACCCTATCTATAAATATAATGGACAAGGTAGAGAAGCAATTTCTAATTTATGATAGTGCCAAGATTTATACATAGAACTGCAAGCAATAAATCCAAGGAAATTATATAAACTATGAAGTCTTGCTTACAATATGATATTAGTTTTACATTAAAATGTTATAAAAATAAATTGTGTAAATTTCCAAGGGGGGAGGAAATGCAAACAGTAAGGAAAGCATGGCAGGAATCTTAGTAAAGTGTGCATACATAATGAGGTATTGAAAAGTATTATTTTGTAGAAATAAAACATGATTATATTATTCTCTCTACCATTCCAATTAAATAAAATTGAAATTATCACTTGTCCTCCAGAGAGGCAAACTCAAACACCTTCACCTAATGTCAGGGCTGGTTGGTTTCCCAGGTCAGCCCTTCAGGACATGGGTGGTGGTGGAAGCCGATCAAAGGTCCTTTGTTTTAGCCTCACGCTGGTATACTCATTCTGGGAAGGCGCTAAAGCCCTTGGGGTGTTTAAGATCATACAGATCAGGGTCAGCAAGGTCATAGCCATTCTCTAACAAGAATACCTGCTGAGGACAATAAGATCCAGAGCTGTTACAGGACGAGACAGGACCACAGCTAGGGTCATACCTGTCACAATCTGGGTAACATGATTTAGGTAGTTACAATGGCCAAGACTGTGGTGTTGGAGAAGACTCTTGAGAGTCCCTTGGACTGCAAGGAGATCAAACCAGTCAATCCTAGAGGAAATCAGTCCTGAATATTCATTGGAAGGACTGATGTTGAAGCTGAAACACCAAAACTTTGGCCACCTGATATGAAGAGCTGACTCACTAGAAAAGACCCTGATGCTGAGAAAGATTGAGGGCAGGAGGAGAAGGGGATGACAGAGGATGAGATGATTGGATGGCATCACTGACTCAATAGACATAAGTTTGAGTAAACTCCAGGAGTTTACTGGAAGGCCTGGCATTCTTCAGTTCGTGTGGTCACAAAGAGTCGGACACGACCGAGCGGCTGAACTGAATGTTGGAATGAAACCAGTCAGTCTCCCGGTACTCCTGGGGACTGTGTGAGCTCCGTTGCTCAGTCGTGCCTGACTCTGCAATGCATGGACTGTCAGGCTCCTCTGTCCTTGGGATTCTCCAGGCAAGAATACTGGAGCGGGTTGCCATTCCCTCCTCCGGGGGATCTTCTCCACCCAGGGATCAAACCCGAGTCTCTTGTGTCTCCTGCATTGATGGGTGGATTCTTTACCACTGTGCCATCTGGGAAACTCCCTAGGAACTATACACCCATTTATTAATCTGCAGCTAGGACCATATCATCTTACTTAAGCCTGTAGCTCAAAATATGACCTGTGCATGTAGCTTTCAATCTGTAGATCAAGGCCATGCCCTGTATCCAGCCTTGTGTCTGTCAACCAAACAGACACAGTCTCTAACTGGGTGTATCATGAATGGTTTCCCCTGCTTTACAGGCATAGCCAAAGTGGGAAAACCTTCTCTCTCTCTTTTTTTTTTTCTTAATGTTTCAATAGACTGTAAGCTTTACAAAGGTAGAAACTGACTCCTCCAGAGTATATAACAGGATACCTCACTAGCAGTGCTATTTTATGAGAATTAATAGATATACTTCACCTTGGTGAATACCTGGCACATTTAGGGAGGACACATTTATGTAATGAATACAATTCTTTTTTTTCAGCAGACTTGAGTGTGTAAGAATTATTTGATTTTTCTAGATAGATGGTAGTAAGTCATGAAAGCTAGTATTTTTTTATAACTATCAAAAATAACATGATAAAAATGAAAGCCACATTTTGAAGATATCTGAGAGCTGTGGACACACTAAGAATAGATGATCTACATTCGCAGAGAGTGAAGGAACCACCGTTGTGATTTGATAAACACTGTTTTTTCTTCTCTAGGTCCAATGCAGGCTGGATCAAAGCAGAGGACTATACTAGGGTAAGTGAAAACTGTATCAATTTGCTATTCACTGGGAAGGAGTAGGTGGAACACTTTTTGGAGCTTATGTGGGGCTAAGAATTGTTTCTTTCCCAACAGCAACTCTCGTAATGGACAAGGCATTTGAGAGAATGCTTAGGGTTATCACCCCAGTAAGAGTGCTGACTCAACACTGAGGAGGCAGCTCATCTGAACACAGCTTAACCAGCCGCCCTGCAGGGAGAGAGAAAGTCAGCCAGGATGGTGTGTTCAGCCTCGCTCACCCCACGTCTTGTAAATGATGACTATGTAACAGCTGAGATCGTCTACTGCACTGCCCGTGCCTGTCACTAGGGGCCCACTTGCTTACGGGCTGCTTTGTACAGTGTGTCTTCACCATGAAAGCCCTGGATGCCGCTGCGCGGGGCCTACAGCGGAGCAACATCATGGTGATGTCATGAGACTATGTTATGGCTCCACTGTGGCTCCACCATGGTCACGCTGTGGCTGCCGCATCGTCCAGGAGAGATTAAACACGTCTGCAGCTCCTGTGGCTCCTTGCGGCTTCTTTCAGCCTTTTAGCTCACGCCTTGCCCACCCTGGGTTTAGCGAACGGCGTGGACAGTACGAATAGCAAGACAACTGGCTCATGAACAGGATCAGCAATACAGCCCCCAACGCCCCCCAAAATCCAACAAGTCTCAGAAGGATCTAACCGATTTCATATTTAATTGGTTACCAGAAGCAAATTCAAAATGATTTAAAGGAATACAATAAAATCCAGCAATCCAAAAAAAATTAATATCCGACAGTCTATAGATAATCACCAGACAAATAAAGAAATTGGAAAATATGCCTACTAATTAGGACACTAAGTTGTCAATACATTGAACTCAGAAGTGACATATATGATGGAGCTAGAAGACAAATGAGTTTGAAGCAGTTACAAAAAATATGATCACAAAAGTAAAGGAAAACATAAGTGTGATAGATCAATAGAATGTCTCTAAAAGACAGATGGAACTGTCACAGATAGAAAATCATCTAGATAATAAATATGCTGGGTTTAAATACCAGCACAAGTGGTACTGCAAAAGAAAAATCCATGAACTTGAAGACATAGTGATAGAAACTATACAACATGAAGCAAATAGACTGAAAAGACTAAAATAAAATGGATAGAGTAGGGTAATCTGTGGGATAACATATCAAGTATGTATATATATATATATATATATATATATATATATGCTCAGAAATAAGAAATAATGAAGAAAATACTTGAAAATACAGTAATCAAATTGTTCTACATTTGATGAGAACCAAACTGGTCAAGGCTATGGTTTTTCCAGTGGTCATGTATGGATGTGAGAGCTGGACTGTGAAGAAAGCTGGGTGGAGGAGAATTGATGCTTTTGAACTGTGGTGTTGGAGAAGACTCTTGAGAGCCCCTTGGACTGCAAGGAGATCCAACCAGTCCATCCTAAAGGAGATCAGTCCTGGGTGTTCATTGGAAGGACTGATACTGAAGCAGAAACTCCAGTACTTTGGCCACCTCATGCAAAGAGCTGACTCATTGGAAAAGACCCTGATGCTGGGAGGGATTGGGGGTGGGAGGAGAAGGGGACGACAGAGGATGAGATGGCTGGATGGCATCACCAACTCGATGGGCATGAGTTTGAGTAAACTCCGGGGGTTTGTGATGAACAGGGAGGCCTGGTGTGCTGCGATTCATGGGGTCTCAAAGAGTTGGACAGGACTGAGAGACTGAACTGAACTGAACTGAAAAATACACTGTTTCAACAATGTTATTAACCCTAAGAAAAATCAACCTAAAGGAAAACCACACTGTGGAATATTGTAATCAAAATCCTAGAATAGGAAATAAGTCTTAAAAGTAACAAGAGGAGACGGAAAATACACTGCATAAAGAGGGCAAACATAAGGAAAGAGCAGATTTTGCTAAAAAAATAGAAATTGACAGAGACAGTGAAGATACCTTTTGATACTAAAAAAAAATAAAAGAAGGTTGAATGTTTTAGACAAAAATAATAATATTTTGTGGGTGGTTGTTATACATATATACAAGTAAAAATATACAGTAAGAGTTTTTTTTTTTCTTTTTAAAGGAGGACATTGGTACATGATGTTAAACTATTGAAAGCTTCTCATATTATTTAGGATTTTATAAAAACAAAAACTAACTCAAAAATGCATGTTGAAATATAAAAAGTTATATTTGGCTATATAACTTAATAGATGATAAAGAAGAATAAATGAAGCAGGAATATTTGATTAAACACAAAAGAAGATAAATAAGAGGAATAAAGAAACAAATAGGAAAACTAGAAATAAGTAATAAGATGGTAGATTTAGGCCCAGCTATATCAGTCATTATTTCTAATATGTATGTACTAGATCTTATTTAAAAGAAAAAAACTAGGTTTAATTAAAAAGAAACAAGATGCAGATATATGTTCTTCATCAAAAAACGCACTTTAATTATACAAATAAACACAGTTATGTTGACATTCAAAAAATAGAGGAAGACATATCCTATGTATTAAGGGAAATAAATTGATGTAGGACCACTAAAAATAGACAAAGAAAATTTCATGAAGCAAAATTTTACCAGAAGCCAAGAGACATATCTCCAGGTAATAGGTCAGGCTCACAGGAACACCCAACGACTTTAAATTCCTCATTTCCTGAAAGCTAGCTTCAAATTATTTAACACAAAAACTGATACAACTCAATGGAGAAAAGTATAAATATACCATTTGATTTGTAAATTTTAACACATTTCTCATTGGCTGATACAACAATAAAACCAAAAAATTAGTACAATGGAGGTTTGAACAATCCAGTGAAACAACTTAGCCTAGCTAATATTCTCTCTAAGCTTAACAACTTCTGGAAAACTTTCTTTTTAAGTCCATGTGGGAGGTCTTCCTAAACAGACCATACTCTGGGCCGTAAAGCAAGGATCAACACCTTTCAGAGGACTGAAATCATCCAGTTAAGCCACTTGAAAACAGTGGAAATAAACTAGAAATCAATGGCTAAAATATAACCAAAAAGTTCACAATTATTTAAAATTAAGCAAAACTTTTCTAAATAGTGTATGGATCAAAGAAGAAATCAGTGGAAAAGTGGAAAAGTCAAAATATTTTTAATTGAAATGTACATTAACAAAACATTTTGCATGTGCTAAACAGAAAGAGAAATTGATCGTTTCAAATATATATATAAGAGAAAATCACATGCAGAAAATTAATGGTGTGAGCTATTGTACCAACTAACATATCTATAATATATAGATTAATTAAACTAAAGAAACAAGCAAAAGTCAATGAAATAGAAAACTGGCATATAACAGAGTAAATCAATAAAACCTAAAGGTGGCTATTTGAAGATTAACAAAATCAATAATCCATAAAACCATATTTTTTAAAGGAGAGAAACCAAATTATAAATATAAGAAATGAAAAAGGAGCTAGCACTACAGATTTCCTAGATATTAGAAAAATGCAATAATAAGAAGAGGATATTATGAAATATTTATGCAAATGCATTTGACAACTTGGAGGAAATGAACAAATTCCTCTAAAAAACACAACTAATGTGAAAATCCCTCAAGAAATTGAAAACAGAATTTCCATATGACCCAGCAATTCCACTCCTGGGTATTTATCTGAAGAAAACAAAAATACTAATCAGAAAATTTATATACACTCCTATGTCTATGGTAGCAGTATTTACGATAGCCAAGATATGGAAGCAATCTAAATGCCCATCAGTAGATGAATGGATAAAGAAGGTGTGGTGCAGATACACAATGGAATATTACTCAGCCTTACAATGAATGAAATGCTGCCATTTGTAACAACACGCCTTGAAGATCTTATGCTAAGTGAAATAGGTTAGACAGAGAAAGATGACTACTGTATGATTTTGCTTACTTACGGGTCCTAAAAAACAAAACAAATGAGCAACATAACAAAACAGTTATAGATTCAGAAGACAAGCAGGTGGTTGCCAGAGGGAAGGGTGTGAGGAGAAGAAAAAAATAGATGAGGGAGATTAAGATATACAGATTTCCAGCTGCAAAATAAGTGAGTCAGGAGTGTGTGAAATGTACTGTGTGGGGAATATGGTCAATAACTAAGCAATAACTTTATACAGTGACATATTGTAACTGGCTTTGTCAAGAAGGTCATTTTGAAATGGATAGAAATATCAAATCACTATGTTACATAACAGGAACTAATATAGTATTGTAGGTCAATTATTTTTCAAAAATGAATGAAAATGCATAGAAAAGAGATGGATTTTGTGGTTACCAGATGCAGGGGGTGGGGGGAGGAGGAATTGGATGAGGGCAGTCAACAGGTAGAAACTTCCCAGTTTATTTAAATAAGTTAAAACTTATTTAACTTATGAGATAAATATGTACTAGACATGCAATGTACACATGACAGATTTAACCAATACTGATGTATGTTATATATGAATGTTGATAAGAGAGTAAATCTTAAGAGTTCTTATCACAAGAGAAACTTTTTTTCCAGTGTTTTAATTGTGTGTCTATATGAGATAATGGATGTTCACCAAACTTACTGTGATAAGTTTTCATGATGTATGTAAGTCAATCATTATGCTGTACATCTTAAACTTAGACAGTGCTATATGTCAATTATATCTCAATAAAACTAGAAGAAAAGTAAATGAATGGTTGGTTAAAAAGCACAATTTACCAAAATAAAAACAAAAAATAGAAAAAAACATATTCCTATATATGTATTTTACTGACCACATAATTTCAAAATCCACATAGAAAATGCTATAGGGCCCAATGTTCTTACTGAAAAATTCCTATACTTATTTAAGAAGAAAATAGTATCACATTTATACAAAATTGTATGGAAAATAAAGAAAGAGAAATCTCTTTCAACCTCTTTTGTGAGTTCGACATAAACCTGACACTAAAACTTGTCAAAGATACCATAGGAAAAGAAAATTAGAAGCCAGTGTATCTCATGAGCTCATATATAATAATACTAAACAAATTATAAGCAAATTTAATTCAATAATAATAATGGGTAATACATTATGACCAAATGAAGTTTATTCCAAGAATGCAAGGTTGATTTAATATCTGAACATCAAACAATGTAATTTGTCTCACCAGCAAAAAGGGGAAAATAAAAGCATCTGATCAACTAAATACATGTAAAAAGCTATTAGAACTCAATAAAAAGTGAAATGAAATAAAAATATCTCACCTAATTTAGAATAGAATGGAACTTTCTCAATCTTGTAAGAAGAATCTATAAAACATCAAAAGGAAACACAATCCCTAACAGTAAATTATTAAACACTTTTTCTCTGAGGTTAGGAAAGAGACAATTATGTCCACTATTACCCTCCTATTCCACATGATCCTGAAGATCCCAACCAAATCAATAATAAAAGGAAATGAGATTAAAATGTTAAAAGATGGGAAGGAAGAAGGAAAAGAGTCATTTTCAAGGTGTTCAACTGAAAAGTCATTTTCCAGGTG